TGCTAGCATTGTTTAAGTATATAGCTTATACGAAACAGCTCACGCAGCTGCAGTTACAGCACGGATTCATTCCTTTTTTTCCCGATAAGTCCGAGATCTGTAGTCCAGCACAAGAGTAAGGAAAGTAATTACAGATAGGAAATTGCTCGAGGGGAAATGGGCTTTCCATTGGGTCTCATGATAGATTGACGTTTAAATCAGAAATAATTATTTGACGCTTGAATTTTACGAACAAAAGCTTTTCGCAAATTTCAAGAAATCTTGCAACGTGCTACAAAATTTAATACAAAATTACAATAAATTATATACAAAAGTCTTAATCTATTCTCAATCTTATGGCAAATTGAATAAAAGTGATTCGATCACTTGTTACCAGGTGTACTTAGAACGAATTTCTAATCGTTTGTTAATTTCCTTTCATTAAATTCTTCGTGCGAAACGGATCGTCCGATCGAAGTTATTCAACTCCACGGCGCGCGTTCGATCGCGAAACAAACACGCGTATTGGACACCTATTCGTTTGTTCTCGCGTTACAGCGGGGACATGCATAACTCGGCGATCGAATTATTTGAGACATTCAGAGGATATCGCGCGCACAATTACACCGCGTGCCAGCGATCTACCGTCCAGCTACCGATGGTAGGGATCGTCGTCGAGTATAAATGAAGCGTTCCCCCTCGGTCGTACGTCTGTTCCGCATAGCTCGTATCGATTTCAAGTAACGAAACGTCATTAAACCGCAATGGATCACCTCCTCGTCTTGGTGCTGTTCGCCGTTTTACCATTCGCCATGTAACGATCCTCTGTCTATCAATTTTCGAGCCTCGATTCTCGGCGTTGATCAGATCCGGAAATTTTTCTAGACAAGACACCACCGTCGACGAGGGTGGCTGCGAGTGCGCCGTGTTCCCTATGCAAATATCGAAATCGATCATTGAACGTGCTCTTCCGTATAACGTCACGTGCAACGACGAGGGGGAGGAGAAGTGTCAACAGTTATGTGTCGCTTTGGTCAGTAAATAATCGTAGTTACGTGCCTCGACGGTAGGTATAGAATTATTAGAAAGGTATGCGTAAATGATTCTGTGCAGGCCGAGAGCGCCAGGGAACAAGCGCCGCAGATGATTTGCGAGAAGCTAAACGCGCACGTAGAAAATCTTCAAGTGAGTCGCATCTGATCAATAATCATCAGATTCTAATATAGAAATTAAAAAAAAAATACTATGTTAGATTATCCAGGCATTTCATTTTACTATATAGTAAAATGCGAATACTTGCGACTTCTCTTTGGTTCCGCGATTAAATTTCAAGTACAGATAAAAATAGTGTACGCTTTTTAGGTAGCGGTGTACGCGAAAGTGTGTAACGCAATCACGTGGAAATTCACTGGTTTGAAAGCCGCGGATCCAATCTGCTGCCACGACGGGAAGAGTATTGCTTGCGCGGAACCAGCCCCGGTGATTGAAAACTAAATCATTATTCCCGATTATCCGGCAACGCACTGGCTCCCACATGGGACTTTACGTAATCAATACGTTCGTTGTTAGACTTCGGATTTTTATTCGAAATCAAATATTTCTGGCGTCGATTTATAAAACATGAATTTAATTACCTTCCGTTCAAAAATATTGACACGTATCGATCGTATTGTTACTATTTCAATATTCTGTACGAAGTTCATTGTACTTTCCTGTGAATGTATCGAATCCGGAGTCTATCTATTATATTCCATGCTTAACTCTCGTTCTCGCTGCTTCTAAATGTCAATAATTAATTATCGCCTTTTATCGAATTATTGAAATAAATATGTTAACATTAGGTAGGAATAAATGTTCGATCAGTTCCGGATTCTCGTATCCCATCCGTCCGGATATCAACTGTCAAAGAACAAAATCGTTCGTTTAAAAGCATTAAATTCTACTCATTCCTGCCTTTCTCGGCTCCTTTCCTTCAGAGATCTTTCGACCGATTATACACGTACGTCTCCCGAAGTACCGCCAGAATACAGAGTACGTCTCGGCAACTGCAGGTATCTCCCATTTCGTCAATGGTGTTCCGAGATCCTCGTTCCCGGCGCCAACCCATTGAATAAAGGGTTTGTTATCGCTCCTCCTGCCGATGAATCCTTCCTCGTGACTCTCTATATCGACCCTAACAGTCTACCAGGCCATTGTATACCCGCGGTTTTGTCGCCCCTTCTTCCGACTTCTTTAATGACTCCCGTCATTTTCACGTTCCTCCGTTTCGCTCTAAATTTCATTTAATTTCTAATGCCATTTTTCGTAACATTCATATTTGCCATCTTAGTTTATTTAATGATAATTTAAAGGATTCGCTATTGTTGAGCTTCCAACTAAGAGTATAGGTGATTTTATTAAAAGAAAAAATAAATATATATATATATATATCTGCTTTAGACTCGCAATCAGACTGACTATCCTCTGCTGAGGGTATTGCAAGAGTTACAAAGACGTAGTTTTAACAGCCTCCCAAAAGTTGACAGAGAGAGAAGGTACTGATATTTTTAGGGAGAAAAGCTTATGGCAGGGCAGACTGACCGTTCTCCTCATAGCTCCCCCGTTGCTCGTCTAGAGATTGTTAACATGTATTTTCCAAGTGTGCGTCCCTATTTCAATCGTAAATCATGCTTGTTTTCTTCGTAACTGTTTTTGGGAAAGGCTTCATCTTAAAGAAAGCTTACCAATATTAATAAAGAATAAACTCAGCAGCTGTTTTTTTATTTATCTTGTCATTCTAAAAACTAAAGCTATGTTTCGTAATTAACTATTAAGGTAAAATCCAACAGTTATTAGTGTACTCTGATTTAGATACAGTTGTACAGTTTACACGATGTGTCTGACACAGAGCTCTGTTTGATGTCATTCCACACGTTGACTCGCGCTACTGGCAAAGTCCTGAGAGAAAGAGGATCCGGGTACGACTTCGTGTTAGCTCGCACAATGTCAACATCGTCAATACGCTGACTCTACTATACTACCATCAAAAGAGAGGAACGTCGAAAGTTGTCGGAAGTAATCACACGTGGCCTGTTATTGACTTGTACTACTAGCTGCTGCGCCATGCTCAATTTGTAACTCGCGGCTACTCTCTATTTAATTTCCGGAAGAAATCGATAACATCTCTCGATGGTGTCGAAAATTGGGCGTGTGTGCGTTTAAACTAAACTCCATTCGACGTTCCATTAACATTCATGAACGCAAATTTCTATTAATCGGCTGCCAGATCATTCCCATTGATTTAGCATCCGAAATCATACGTTTGGGAGCGATACACATCGTTAAATCTATTCGCATTTCCATATCTATGTTATTATTAAATAACACGAGAATTGATGCGAGTCTGCCATCATCTATTGGCTATCAGTTTCCCCGCATGATTTCCAACCATTATTAATGAGTTCCACGTTTTCACTTTTCGTGTCTTGAATTGAATTTGCAAGCTGCCGAGATTCGCGGATCCGTACTCGAAATTCCTGAATCTGAACTTTCGTACTGCATAACAGTCACGTTTGCATGATCAAACTGTGACGAGTAATCAGCGCTGCGTCTGAAATTGAACCGGCATGTTTCGTGAGCGTATATTTATTCATGCGATGAGAGATATTCGATCCCACGCGTGCTTGGAACAGTAAATTAGATATACAGTATTGACCTCTTTCATTATTTTCATTATTTAACTAAGCAAAATTGTTGTGTCATATGTCGTGAAGAATATATCCAGATGATGCCATTTAATTTTTATCATTATTATTTCTTAAACTATTCTTAAGATTTTCCAATTCGTTTAGACATGCTAAAAGTTTGAGATTTTGGAATATTGGTGGATAGATATTAAGTGATTCAAATATATAACATATAATAAAAGTTTATATATTAAATAACAAATTATATTATGTTTCAGTTCTATCTCTTAACACGGTCGTGTGGTCCAGCCAAAACGACACGAAACTACGCCCTCACTAATGAAACTCACCCCTTAAAACTACGAAAAATTCCCATGAGTGGGGATGCTAAGAAAACTATCTCCGGGCTTTGAAAACGAAGAGGACAACGCCTAGAAAACAGATGCCTCACGCTTTCACTCTTCGCCTCAAGGACTCACACAAACAAGACTATCGCCAGAAGATAATTCAGGTACGTTTAGGCTATTTTCAAAATTTATTAAAACCATTGATAGCTTTAATTTGGGTAATGGCTCAGATATGAAATAGCGTATCAACCCTTAAGCAGACTGAGGGTTAATATTGGTATGAGATTAACTGATACAGCGAAAATGAGAAATGTATCGTTTTTAATGGCCGCACGAGACTAAAAGTAAATCTCGTTGAAGCGGTCACGCGAAAATCCCCGAGCTTTTTCCAATAATGTGTCACGTGATCGAATCCCCGAAGTATTACTGATGCGGTCTCAATGGACGTGCTTTATTTGTGTAAATAATTCCCCAGAAATGGGATAATCAATGCGCGAGTATCACAATGCACATACATCGTTAGTTCGTTGCCAGGGATTATAGTTTCTCCCAGAGTTTCGCCTGCAAATGAGCACAAAGGCTGCGAAACCAGGCTGCTAGTCGTTACAGAGTTCCTCTGTTTCGAATTACGTCTAACCCGATAGACTTGTCAATTGAAAAACTAAAGCAATTTAGTTAGCAAGATTTATGTGGAAAATGAATTTTGTTTTATTTTTTAAATGCATAGAAATTTTTTATGTAATCAAACAGTTATTCGAGCGATGGTTTTATCGATCCAGCTTCTATGAGAAATAGAACAGAGTCGTCGCATGAATATTGTAATACAGATTGCGTTGACAAATCACGCGTCGCTGGGTAATTACTAATCACGATGTCAGCTAATGCACGTGTTTCATCTTATCTTCGCAGACCGCTAAGTACACCTCGGGACGTGCAAACAGTATCTTGGAGCTCTTAAGCTACTTTAATCCTCTGCGTGCCTTTCACGCCTCCTTAATGTCCCTTCACCTCGCGCATTCCGGTTGTCAGTTCGTGAGTGGTCGGTCCATGCACGAATTTCTCAATCACTGTCGTATTTAAAAAATTATTTCACTCAATTTGCAAACTTAAAATTGAATCAAGTAATCAGTCTTTGAACTGTGGCTAAAATTTCTATGTGCAATTATGATTTCAATCCATGTCTTTTGCATGCATTCATCATTCTATGTATTTTAGTACTCTAATATTCGCGAACGCGTTAGTAAAAAAGCGAAGCACGTTGCTCGTAATTATCCTCGTTAAAAGCAGCCGGATCGTTAAACACGTACGCTGTCACGTCGCGACACCGTATGTAACATTCGTGTAACGTGACGTGCAAACACTCGGTTAGCCGCCTTAAGCTTGCAGCCATCCTGTATATAAGCCTTCCGTGTCTCCTCGGTGCCGGTACAGATCATATGTTACGTGTTACTTCGGCCGGAAACCAGCCACCGAACTACAATACACCTACAGTTCTGCTGGCCGTAATACTCCGACGATCGCCAGGCCGAAGGTGTATTTATGCACGTGTGTTTACCTATTAGCGACGCGTCAACGTGTAGCCCCTTTACCAACTGGCGATCGTTGGCTCTCATCGATGATTACTAGTAGCCAAGTCATTCGAATCAACGTAATTATGGAAATTATCATTTCGTTAATTTAAAGCAAGTGTCAAGGTTTTAAATTAAAATGGAATTCTGTGAAATCGTATTAATTTTCTTGGATTGGCCTGCGGGAATTTTTATACTGTAATTATTTGTTCGATTTTGTACGAGACAATCGTTGCATAGTTTGGTGAAATTACGCGCGCGATGCTCGAAGAACGGAAGCTCGGTAAGCAATCAGTAAAGGATCGTACAAACAATAATTGGTTAAAGAGGTCGTGAGATATCAGGGTTGCAGGAAGCGGAAGGCCGTGGATCAGCGCGCTGAAACTTCGTGGCTCCGCTTATTAACTTATTGCGTCTTCTAAGTTCGCGTTAAACTGATATTAATTACTGTACTCTCCGGAGCTAACTTCGGCTGAGCTTGTTGTCGCGTCGGTTCCTTCCCATCCGACCTACTTGCAAATTTCTTTGTCCTCGCTTCGTTTCCCTTTTTTGCGTTCCGATTTTTATGCAAATTGAAAGAATCATTGTATTATTTTAACAAATTAATATTTCGTGATTAGGCAGTCAGATTTTCATATTTTGTGCAGTTAATTCTTTCTGTACGTTCAATTCTCTAAATCTACAATCGATTTATTCTTGTCAACGTTACAAGGAATAACAAATTGAATTTGTCTTGAAGATGTTTAATTCATGGATACAACGTTGTGAATTTACTACAAGTCACGTAGCACCCAATGTACCAGTGTTAACGTCGCTCACGACACATTGAATCGCGTTGACTCCGGTTTGTTGCTGGGCGACCGTTCGAATTTCACAATGGGAACGAGCCGCGTACCGGGATAAAGAAAAGCAAGCTGCTGCTGCAAAACCCGAAAACCAATAGTGGCGCGCAAGCATCTTTCACGGAGAAAATATTTCCCACTAGACGCTTCACCGGGAGTCTTATATACGATCAGGGACCCAACGCGGGCAAACACGATTCCCGTTCTTCAGAGCCTACACATCCCCCGAGATGCGATGAAATACGACTGGTCTTTAAATGTGCGTGTCCACTTGTATCACACCCTTGTTGTCGCACCGGTAAACCACCGTCCCTTCTAAATAGCGCTTTCAACTCAGAGCATCTCTTCGAATTGTGTCTCTGAGGTTTAATGCGTGACCAAAATTCATTCCTCGTCGCTGTTTCGTATGACATAATATTTATCAGGTTTTTTCCACGGATTTGTAAAAATTTTTGAACACGGGAATCTACGGTTCGCGTTCGATACTATGGAACGCGCGTAATTCTTGTCGACGGTTCCGGATTAGGTCAGAAGTTTTTTCGACAAACTGTACGACCCGTGTCGATCCGTTCGAGAAGATTTCCAGTCGGGAAAACAATGTGAAAGGGGCTGGGTAGAAGTTTCGAAAAAGTTTGTCGACCCGCGTACTTAAACATTGTTCTTCGTCGAGATCTTACTCCACCCCAGGTTATACTGGATATTCCAATGAACTCAACCCATCCAGTCGTCCGTCTAGTCAAACACGTATTTGCGAGTAGATCCGCTGTGACTCTTTTTGTAAAAAATATGTCAATGCCACTTTTTAAGCCGCAGATATTTTTCAATGCCTGGTGCGAGTCAAATGAAGAGCTCTGAATTTCGGCGTCGATTCGAGCCCCGGTGACGAGCGTCGAATTGTGTAATATATTCATTTTCCGGTCGGACACAACATTCGTCCACCGTCCAAAACGCAGCCCGGCGCGCACGGTAAAATAAACGTTCGGCGGGATTTTCGTTGTACGATTAATCCCGTGATTCCATTGATTCGACTCTGAACGCGACGCATTGAAATAACATCCACTATCGCCGTCGATTCAACTGGACCCGCATAGCTGAAACGGTATTATAAACCCTTTCGTCCGACGATGGTTAACTATTGCTTGTCGAACAAAAGGATAGAAACGGAACGGAAATAGAGGCAAAATGGTTAGAATTTATCAGGTGCGACACTGAAAACGTATATTAAAAATCAGTTCGTGAATAGGATTTCAAGTATTCGAATTTAGTCTTTTCGTGTACTGCGCGAACGTAATATCTGTTGCCGATTTATACAAGTGGCCGTCGATATGTTTTGACGTTGACCGGGCCTGGCAGCCGTTTTTATCAAGCGTTCGCGGATTATTTTATGGTGATTCGCTCGGAGGCGAGTAAACAGTTTAAATCATCGCCGGGCGGCAACCAGTTACCTCTGAATTTTACATCGCGACGAGGGCGTTTTATTGCGAGCTCGTGTAAATTCGTCGTTCCGCCTGGGTTTTAATGGCCCTTTAGAAAATATAAATTACGCTCCTCGTCGTGCGGTAGAAATTCCAGCCGCTCTTTAACATAGATTATTTGTCACGGCCGGCCACGCGGCGATACGTCGATATTATTCATTTACGCTAATTAAATAATTCATTGGCTAATTGGTCAATGATTACAAAGTTCACGTGTCGTGGAATAGATTTTATGTTATGCCTCGGAGTTTCATCTCGTCGAACGGGAACCGTCTTTCCCGTTTCATCGTTTCCCGAGCCACCGTGTCTGACTAGCTACCGACTCTCACTACTTACGAGTCCTGGGACACGTATCGACGACTATCTGCGACGTTCCCGCGCTCTCTGCTATTTCCGACGAGAATAATTATTGTTCTTTCGCTCGGTCCCGCCCCTCGTCTCCTTTTTACGTGCTCTGCACGATCGTCCCTGACGAAATTCGCGACGGGGAATCGCCTCGACAACGGGACGCATTTGTCTTGACGTTAATTGCGAGGAAATTGTCCTGCGGTTCATCGTAAAAACCCGCAGTCTAATCATCGCTCGATGATCGTCTCTGTTATTTTATTTTCTACAAAGATTGTCTAACAAAATTAAAATCGAGTCATATAGTTTCGTGTAACGCAGAACTCCTATTCTTGCAAATAATTACAATTTATTTTTGTTCGATAAGAGATCGCCGTATCGCAGGGGACACATTTTAATTGGAGCTTTCCAATGCAGAAACTTTTCGAACTGGTTGAACCTCGTCCACGGTCCCTCCTCCCAATTATTAGATTCGTTGGGAGGCGAGCCCCTGGAGCAAACGAAGTATCGTTTAATTTTTCCTCGGATCGTCCCGAGTAAAAACGGTCCCACTGTTTTTACCTTCAGACGCTGCAGCCTGAATATTTATCTCACGCGTTCCATTTAGAACCCGGCAGTCCCTTTTTATTTCTATTATTCAGATCAGTTTCCTTATTTTAAATCCTCTGTATTTAAACGTGCTGCTAGTTGCTTCTTACGTACTGTGTGACTACGAACCCTTATTCTGTTGGAAAGAGGGTGCGACAAGGAGAGGAGGGAGGTAGAGGGAAGTACCGGGTGTAACAGCTATCATTATGCAAATCCATGTCGTCGTAGCCGAGCGGCCAAGATTAAGACGCCCATTCGTTACACAGTTTTGCTTATCGAATCATTTTTTTTTCACACTGTTGACAAATGTGCAGGTGAACATAAGCACGAATGTACTTGGAAAATATGAATACTTCGAGCAAGCGAGGTTCTTTAGTTACCTCGTGAGATTTTTATTAAAAATCGTCAGTTGTTTCGAACCAGTGGATCCTTCTAATGACGATTGACACGTCGCGGAAACGCGAGGAAAAAGCATAATTTCCTGACGGTCGGACAGGTTCGTCCAACGGCCAGGAATTAATCAGTTTTTCCTGGCAAGTGTATGCATGCCGGTCACGTTTTACGAGATTCCACCGAGTCGGGTGTAACGAGCCCTGCCTGTAAATAACCATCGAACTGCCTTGTAATAAATTACTCGAAATAAATTCATAACGAGAATGTCGTGCCGCTTTCCGCGCTAAATAATCCATATCATCGTTCAATAATCGTTCGCGATCTCGCTGCCGCATTTCAAATTTTCGATGTTTCCATTCACCCGTATTTATCAGCTTGCTACATATAAGCTCTTCTTTCGCGTTCATCTGATCTTCCGAGAAGTACTTCACATTTTTTTATATGAGAAGAATGAATCTCGACCTACTTTTGATTGTGTCGACTTCTTCTACGGTGACAAGAATCGAAAATATCAATAAATTTTCAATGTTTCTTCAATGCT